AGACAGTGGAAGTGAGGTCACCCCTTAGAGCAGCACGGCCTTACCAAGGACTGAAGGGCTGAGCAGCAGAGAGGGATGGGCTGGCAGCAGCTTGCTGTGAGGGTGGTCTCTGAGAGCCACTGCCACCAGGGATAACAGAGCACCCCTGTCCCTCTGCCACCAGGGATAACAGAGCACCCCTGTCCCTCTGCCACCAGGGATAACAGAGCACCCCATCCCTCTGCCACACAGGGAGGGTAACACCCACTCTCCAGGCTGCTGGCTTGGCTGACAAGTAGGTTTACCCTGACTTTACAGGGTATTATATGTTGCAATCATAACTTAATAAAGGACTTGGGTATGTCTTCATCTTTAGATGTGCAGACAGCTCCGTTATGCTCAACAGGACAATGAGTGGCTTAAAGCTGAACACGAGCACAGATATTTTGCTGGCTCGGGGCACTAAAGCAGCCATGCTCAATATTGCTGGTCCTGAGCCTAATTCAATTAGAAAAGCTTACCAATTTCAATAGCCATTGGCTTGGATTCCAAAAATAATCCCTGTTAAAGCTAAATTACAGTGGCCATAAGAACACTCTGCATGTGGTCTTTGGCTGTGGCACACACACACACACAGCATGACTGAGGAGTTGCCAAGGTGACGAGCATGTCCCCCTCCCTTTCAGGTTCCTGCGGTTGCCTCATCATGATTCTCTTCTCCTCAGAGGTGAAGATCCATCACCTTTCAGAGAAGATCGCTAATTTCAAGGAGGGAACCTTTACATTCAAGACTCACAGTGAACAGTTTGCAAATTCCTTCTGGACCATCCTGGTTTGCTCCCTGGTGCACTTCCTCAATGCCCTGCTAATCCGATTTGCTGGGTTTGAATTTCCCTTTTCAAAATCAAAAGATTCAGGGAGGATCACAGGAGCAGTTGACCTGATGTATTAGAATTACAGGATTTAACAACATTTCAAGCAAAGAGATTTGTCACTACTACATCAACAACCACCAGATGTACCAACTTGCAAACAATTAGCTCTGAAGAAGGTGAAACAAAAGAGAAGATTTCAGATAAGCATCACTATGGTGCATGCAGTGAACAAAAGAAGACATGCTGAATGGTAATGTCTGGATGGAAATGCCCTCTTTCTTGGGGTAAGGCCTTATCAAGACATTTGCCTTTTTTTCCAGTAAACTATCTGAAAAGTAGCTGGTATGAAGAAAACTAGAAATCTCAGTAGCACTGCACAGGGTCTGGAAAGTCCAATAGATGGTTTGCAGTAGAGACCCACACTCACCAGCAGCAGCTTTGCCCTTCAGCCCCGGTGGAAGCGAGGACACAGCTGTGACCACGCCAGGGAATGAGGACACACAGCAAACTCAGACACCCAGCAAGGGACAGGACAAGGCCTGGGCTCTGCCCTGACACCCCTCGGGCTCCAGCTCACACACACAGTGCTCGGTAGGAGCAGGAGCTACAGCTTGGGGGGTAAAACCCAAACACCTGCACCCACCACCAGCACTCTGACCTGGCACCAAATGCACGGCAACAACACTGTTTCTCTCCATAAAGCTCTCTTTTGGGGTTTTAGTTTTAACAAACCAAACCGTGCTCTGAGCCCAAAGTCCCAGGAGCTCCTGTCACCCCTCGGTGACAAAGCTGTCACAGCAGAGCAGCACTCGGGGAATGTGCTGCATGATCCTGCTTGCCTCAGGGAGACAGCTGGGCTTGGCACTGCCTAACAACCCCTCTGCAGTTCATCAGGCAAAAGGCATTAGGGAGTGAGCCCAGGCACCTTCACCTCCCATTGCCCCCTCCCAGAGCTCCCAAGAGCCCTGCCCAGAGAGCAGCCTTGCAAACTCTTATGAAACAATAACAATAAACCAAGTCAGAACCTTTGGAAAGGGCAGCAACAACACAACAGACAGGCTCCCTGGCACACTGCAGCTCTGCAGGGACTAAGGAAGGAACACGGCAAGGTCTGGTGCAGGAAGCCAGAACAGACGGCCACAGCAGCCCTCACACCCTGAGACATCCTCAGGTCACTTAAAACAACAGACCCTCCCGCAGGGACAGCAGAGCCAGCCCAGCTACCGACAGGCTGAGACGGGAGCAAAGACCACCCGCACGGGATTACCTGAGTGCCTTGGAGACGAGCTGCTTCTCCCACGACACGGAAACTGCACTCAGAGCAAACACAAGGAGACAGCCCCTGCCCCAGCCACCTATTTATCTGCGGGGGCTGTGCCCAGCTGTGGGTGAGGAGCAATCCCGCCTGGCTGCAGGTGAGGAGGGATCCCACCCCGCGTCCATCCATCCCCCGGGTGCAAAACGGGCCCAGTTACCAGATATCTGAGCCCTCTGCACTTCGGGCACTACCAGCCAACGAGGCCTCACTCACTTCGATGCCTTTTTTCATACTTCTACACTGAATGGCAAAACACTACTGGGTTCTTGTAGAGGTTTGTCAGCTGCATCCCCGCTACCCAAACACTTTCCCAAGGCAGCTCTGCCCCTGCTTCTCCACGGATTTTGACAATGTGTAAGGGCTGCTGCAAGTCACCATGACACCAACATGTTTTCATAATTTTCTTCTTAATCCACATGCATATTCTTCCTAATGATAATGTATGTTCTTAATATATAATTTGTATTGCATCTCATGGTGTTGTTTACTACACAGCAAACCCAAACCCCTCCCTTTGCTGTGCAGGCAAGAGCAGCCCCGACCCGGGGTCCGGGTGTCCTCACCGGGGTCACTCAGCCCCGCTCCACCGTCCCCGCCTCGCTCCCGAGCATCAACACGGCTGTTGTTTGCCTTCATATCCAGTTCCCAAGGAAAACCGCTTCTTACGACCAAAATAAAATTATGACAGTATTTGTGTGTTTGACCGGCAGAAGTGACAGAGGCACGGCTGCCCAGCACGAACCCTGGGGGAACCCCAGCAGGGACCCCGGGCCCCCCGTCATCCATGAAAGTGCCCCTGCTCCCGCCCCACACTGGAAAATAGCCCCGCTCCCTCTCCGCTTTGGAAAACACCGCGTCTCCTGCTCCATGCTGGAAAATACCCACCCTCCTGCCCCCCGCTCCTGCCGCCGCCCGCAGGCGGCCCCCCCGAGCAGCCCCGGCATCCCCCGGCTCTCCCGGCACCAAACACCGATGCTGCGGGCACAGCGCGGAGCGGAGCGGGCCCGACGGGCTCTGCCCACGCTTCAGTCACGGGGGGACGGGCGGGGGGGTCGGTGCCGCTCGGTGGGGGGGTCAGAGAGCCGCCCCCCAGCAGCGTCAGTGCTCCCATCCCGCAGCATCGCCCGCAGCATCGCCCGGAGCGCGGCGGCTGCGATGGGTGACAAGGGGGCTGAGCAGGGGGCTGCGATGGGTGACAGGGGGGCTGAACAGGAGGCTGCGATGGGTGACAGGGGGGCTGAACATGCCGTGCCGACGGAGCTGGAGGAGATCATCAGCAGAATCTCTGATCTGAACAAATGGAGAGAAATCTTTAGTTTCCGTGGGTAAGATTTTTATTCTACTTTTTTTATCACGTTTTTAATTCCAGGTGGTTATTTAATGTAATTTTTAAAGTTATGTCTTATTACAAAACTTATGTGCCAATGACAAAAGGTCTTTGTGTACTCCATAATACAAGTGCTACAGCTCTTACTCTTCCTTTGTTCTGGGGTTGTCTTCTGGCTGGACTCTGGGTTCTCCATATGCCAGCAATGCCTCTGTTGGGGTTTTTAAATTGTGCTTTATTTACCTTTTCAGCTTGGAAATCAACAACACAATTCATCAGGTAACTCTTTTCCAAAGGTAACATTTGGTGTTTGTCTGGTGGGTTTTGGGTTGTCCCACTGGGTTGGCACATTGAGGAGGTCACACATCCGTACCTGCAGCCCAGGTCTCTATGAAGATTCATTTCTCCTGCTGTTCCTTTGAGAAACAGGCGTATTCTTCAGGTATTCTGAAAGAAAGTCTCCCTGATCTAAGTCAAAGGGGCAGAGCAGTCCAACACAAACTAACCTTTCTGTCTAAAATTAGTGGTTTCCACAGTCAGTTTTAGAACACAGGAAAAAGGATAACAAGCTAACATCTCCAAAATGCAAGTATTTGGAAAACTTGCTGCGCCCTTAGGTTGGGAGGCACTGAAGGGTATTCTCTGTAATTCACAGTGTTACTCCCTGCTCCAGTCACTAGCTGGTAGGGATGTGTTGGGAATGCCCGAAAACAGCTGGAAGTCAAGGGCACCCATGTTCCAGGGCAGCACGTGTGTCTCCCCTCCCCGCCGCCAGCCCACGGCCGGGCACTGTGCCCACCCCTGGGAATATTAGGAGAGAACTTCGGGTGCATGAGAGCAGCAGCCCTGGCGTGATGCACCGTCTGCTCCTCTCCTTGCAGCGAGGCCGGGGCAGAGCTGGCGATGGATCACCCGGAGCTGGGGAGCCCCCGGGGCCGCAGCCCCCCTCTACCGTCCCCCAGCCCCTCCCGCTCCCTCCGGGCACGGGCGGCCGCCCCCTCTCCCCGGACACGGCGATGGTGAGCTGCCTGCCTGCTGAATTAAGCATGAGCTGTAATTGAATCTCCTGAAGAGAAAGTCTCGGGAGCCTTTCCCGGCGTTCGGGCGGCTGCGGGCTTCAGCCTGCTGTCCCCTGAACAGGGCATGGGATGGGGATGCATTATTTATGAGACTCTTAACGAACATGGCTGCAGCACAACCTTAAAGCTGATCCGCAATAATTCTCATGAGAGAACCAGTCAAATGACAAGGGGAAATGTTTACCTGCACTTTGGGGCCTCCCTGACAAACAGCCTCAGATGGGAGTCAGAATCATGGAATCATGGAATCGTTTGGGTTGAAAAAGGCTTTTTACACCATCAGTGAGTGATTCCAGCTCCTGTCGAGTGCCTGAGGGCGCTGCTGCTGATAGCAGTGCAGGCCTTCCCCAAAAAGTGCACTGTACCCAGACAGAGGTTATTACACACTGTGACTGAGCTTCACTGGAGTGGCTGAGTACTGAATGAAGTCCCTGACTGAGGCCAAACATCCCCTTTGCTCTGGAGTTGTGAGGTCTGACAGTGTGACAGTGCTGTGAGCTCACCTGCACCCCAAGACCTCCTGACCTTACAGGTCATCCCCCGTGCTGGGACCTGACCCCCCCTCTGGCTCTTGCTCGGCAGGGGCTGCAGAAGCTGCTGTTTGGGAACACAACCCCCCTGTTCAGCTGCGAGTGGGCAGCAGCACACTTCAGGTTCCGCCAGCCACACTCTGACCTGGCCTACGCACTGCAGGCAGGAAAGGTAAAGTGTCACACAGCAACTGGCACCGGCTCCTCCTTGTCTCAGACACGCACAGGAGACAGCAGCCAGTGCTGGGAGCCTCAGCAGCACACACTCCTGCCCCCCACACCCCTGCCCCCACACCCCTGCACCCATGCCCTGCCCACCGGCCAGGCCCAGTGTTCCCCACCGGGCTGGGTGCAGGGGCTGCAGCCACAGCCCCCTCACAGCCACAGCTGCCCTCACAGGGGAGCCCTTGGCCCAAGGCTGGAGCAGGATGGATGGCCTGGAGCCAGCAGCTGGCTGCAGGACAGGCTGTGATACCCTTCTGTGAGAGGTTCACACGGGAGGGCTCAGGAGAGGCAGCAGGATGCACAAAGCAGCAAGACTTTCCTGTTTCTTTTCTGAGAATTAGACTTACCAAATTCTTCCTGCTCCACCTAGACATCCAACAGGTGAAGTCACCTACACTGTCATTTACCGAAGGAGTGAGGGTTTTTTCTTCTTCCTTATTTATCATCACAACACTGCACCCAAAAAAGCAGAAGCCCAAGATAAACACTCAAATTGTAAATCCCCTAAATCACCTGGAGGCTGAAACGCTGGGTACAACCACAGGCACCACTCCCTGCATTCCAAGGCTCTCTGCTCCCAGGAGGTACCACAGCCCTGACCCTGAGCATGGCAGGGAGCAGGCACAGGCACCCCCGTGCACACCCTCCCATCAGCCCCAGGCTGCCTCGGGACACTTGACCCTTTGCTGTGAGACTAGAGGGGAGAAAAAACAAACTGTGGGGCTTCCAAGCACACATGGTGTCTGGAGCTGGGTGACATTCCCTGGGGCCGAGCACTTCAAGGGAGGGAGGGAAGGAGGGAGGGCACCCATGGGACCCCTGCTGTCCCCAACACACAGCCAGGGCCACCCCACATCTTCCTCTCCATGAGGGCTTCCTGTTTTCCTACTGGCCAGGGACTGCTGGGAATGGCATCTGCTCCTCACACAGGGGGATTTGTCTTTCTGTCCCTAGGGGGGAACGAGAGCTGTTCTGATGGCTGTACAAGCACACATCATCACATACCTGCTCTTCACAAGAGACACAGAATATACTCACCTGGACAGGTAAGATGCTGAGCCTTCCCATGGGACACATGGGAATTATTTCCTTGCCTTCATTGGACTCAGGCAGACCAGCTTCTGGGTTCAGATAAACCAGACCCAGGTTCAGGTGTGCAGCTACAGGTGGAGATTTGTACCAGGGGAGAAGCCTTGGCTGACCCCTGGGCAAGGCTTCTTCCCACCAAATCCTGTGGTTTGGGATGGTGGCACACGCCCCCCCCAGTGTGTCACAGCCCCCGGTGTGTCACAGCCCCCGGTGTTCCCGGCACAGGCTGTGCCAGATCGGGCGGCGGGAACAGGGACAGGCACTGGCCGTGGCCCTGGCAGAGACCCTGTGGGCAGCAGGAGGAGGTGGCAGAGCCGTCGTCTGCCTCACCACCACAGCTGGCACCGCGATGCCACGCGCAGGCTGCAGAGCAGACGCCCTCACGGACAGAGTGAGTACAGAAACGCCTGCTGCCAACAGAGCCTTCCTTAAAGACGCCTTTGGCCTGAAATGTAGGATCTCCTAAACCTGCTCCCTCACTTATGGGGCACCAAAGTGGTGAGCTCCCCAGACCCAGGTCCCACCACAGCCCAAGACACACCCATGTCAGGCAGGAGCTGCTGCTCCCCTTCATCAAAGGCCGATCTTCCTCCTCCTGCAAAAACAAGAATCCAGTTAGTGTGAAACTGCTCCCAACTCCCTGACAGAGCCAGACCTCAGGGCTGGGCAAGGGGCAGAGCAGACCCCTGCACTGTTCTTTCACTTGGCTAAAGGAACCACAGGATTCAAAAGCTCAGCTTTTTTATATAATTCACATCTCCTTTACACCACCTTCCCCGACAGATCCGGCTCTTTGAGTTCCCGGAGAAAGCTGCAGCTCAGGAGTTCATCTCCCACCACATAAACTGTGTAAGTGGGGATATTTGCTCTAACCAAGTTATTTTCTTCCTTAATTACATCTTATTTCCCATTCAAATCAGATCTTTTGAGGGCAAGTGCCACCATCAGCAGGATGTGGTGTTAACATACAGTAAAGTTCATGGATCTTCCTTTGGGAAGAGATCCTGCTCCCACTAAAATCCCTGGGACTTTAGCCACTATTCCAGCTCTCTCATCCCACAAACACTGGGTAAATGGGACAGCATTTTGTATTTCACTGAAATACAAGATGTGATTCCTTGCAGCCTCAGCAAAAATCTGGGGGAAAAAATGTACAAAACCCATTTACCCAATAACTGGAAGTTTCTTTTTTTACCTGATCCTATTCAACAAAATTAGTTATAAAATCTTCCCGGAATAACACCTTACTCATCTGGCTCAACACACTCACCTAAGGCTGTATTGAAGCAGATTAATTGTTTTAATTAAACATGATTTACTGGCCATAATTTCTTCCCTGTGATCCCTGATTTCTTTTTCCAGTTCAGGTGTGAAGGAAGCCAAGGAGTGATCCTATTTTTATACAGTTTACTTTTCTCTAGGACACTTGAAAGGTATACTTCACTTTTTAAATATTTTCCTCTAGTTTGGTTACATCTTCTGAAATGGCTTTTCCTTTCCTCCCTTTCCCATCAGCCAGGCAGGGACATGCAGCATCACTTCCAGCACCAGCCTGGCACTGCCCTGACGTTCTGTGTTTGGCCGTACAGGGTCCAAGAGGATTTGGGTGACACAGCTCCTCTGTTGAACGTCAGTTCTGGAAATGTCACCTGCACAGAGGTAGGATCAGCTACAATCCACAATCAAATGTTTCCCACATTTGATTTAGGAAAAAAATTCTCTCTTTTTAATCCAGAGAAAAAAAAAGCATAAGGTCATATAAAAATATTTTGCAAATTTTAATCATGGCTGTGCATGCAAAAAACAGATGATGATGGTGATGATGATGATGGTGATGATGACGATAAGAACAATAGTAACAAAAAAGCCACCTGCAGCCTGGCGTCCCCCTGCTCATGACAGGCACAACAGAGCTGGGAGTGGGACCCCACCTGCAAAGGGCGTTTGCCCCGGTCCCCACGGTGTGACCACGGGCTCTGTCCCCGCAGGCCGTGCTCAGCCTCCTCCTGACGGGACGGGCGAGCCCCCGGGAGCTCGGCGGTGGGGCCGGGGAGGTCCGGGGGCAGCGAGGCCCGGTGGGCTTCCTGCGCTGGGAGCGGGCGGCGGAGCGGCAGGTGAGAGCGGCAGGTGAGAGCGGGGCCAGGGCAGAGGGACCGCGGCTCCCCTCGGGCTCACAAGGCTGCCCTGCCCTGCCCTGCCCTGCCCTGCCCTGCCCTGCCCTGCCCTGCCCTGCCCTGCCCAGGTGAGCCCCGCGCTGCGCACCCCCCGCCTGCCCGTGTGGCTGTGCGGTGTCCCCGGCAGGCACGGCGTCCTCTTCGGCACCGACCCCCGGCTGCTCTCCCACTGGAGAGCCGAGAGGCTCTTCCACCTCTACTTCTACAGCGGGCAGCAGGAGCAGACCCGGACGGCACACCTGACGATAGGTACAGACCCGGGCTTGCCGGGGGGTGAGGTGTGGGCGTCACAGACCTCTGTCCCTCCTGTGCTTAGTGCTCAATAGAAAGTTTAAACACACCATGAAGCAGGATTGTTTCATGATTAATTCAAAATTTAAATGACCCTCTCTCCGGCTGTTGTGTTTTCTCCATGGCCAGTAACCAAGCCCCTCACAACCACTCCTCATTCCCCCACCAGTGGGACTGGAGAGAGAAGCAGGAGAGTAAAAGAGAGATAAAGACAGATTAATAGGGAAAGCAAAGGCCGTGCACACAAGCAAAGCAAAACGAGGAGCTCATTCACCCCTTCCCATGGGCAGACAGGTGTTCAGCTCTAGGAGAGCAGGGCCCTATCCTGCAGAACAGTTACTTGGGAAGACCAACCCAAACATCCTCCCCTTCCACCCACTTGTACTGAGCATGATGTCATATTCTCTGGAATATCCCTTTGGTCAGTTTGTGCCTCCTCCCAACCTCCCATGCACCCCCAGTCTCCTTGCCAACATGGCCTTGACACTGTGTAAGCTCTGCTCAGCAAAACCAAAAACATCTCTACATTATCAATCCTGTGTTCAGCACAAATCCAAAACATAGTGCCATACCAGCCACTGGGCAGACAGTTGAATCTACCCCAGACAAAACCAGTACACCAATGCAGAGAGGCTGGCACGTGGGGGTCACCTTCCTGCTCTCAGCAGCTGACTGAGGCTGAAGTCTCTGTTTTCCTGCACAGCACCAGGTGCCACCACAGCCCTTGTGTTTCCCCCCAAATTCCACATCCCACCCAGGAAGGGTGAACTGCTCCTGTAACATCACTTGGATTGTGAACCAGGCTTTGTGCTTGGGGTGCAAAATTCTTGTTTCTCTGCCACCATGCACCACTTACCTTCGTCAATGAATGCCTCCCTCATCCTCGCTCTCCTTTCACTGCAGCAGTTAAAGTGATCAGAACCTTGGAACTAAGGGGTAAATCTGCAAGGAAAGGTGAATCAGATCCACCATCATGAAACCCAGCATGGCCACAGATATTATCTGTGCATCTGCTCAGAAAACAAACACGCAAACAGCACCCTCGGAATTTCCGGGGGGGGCAACGGCTCCAGGGCAGCCCCAGCCTGGGAGCCCTGCCGGGCTCCCCCAGCTCCCTGGGGCAGGGCAGCAGCACATCTGCACCCATGTGGCTGCAGAACCTTCTGCTTTTAACCTTCACTGAAACCTTTTTGAGGGGGTTGGGTTTTTTTAGACTTTTTTTTTTTTTTTAACAGCATTTCCTCCTCAGACACTCACTCACATCACTGGGAAGAGGCCCCAAGTGCAGACACCTGCAGCCCAGGGAAGAGGTGCCCAGCCCTGGAGATGGCAATCAGGACCAAGTGGGCAGGTGCCACCGTCAGCTGGAATGGCACAGACCCCTTCTTCTGAGGAGTGAGCAGGATGGACCCCTGCTCCTGAAGAGTGCTGGCATCTCCCGTGCGCTGCCAACTGCACTGGTCACTGCAGCGTGGAGGACAAAAACACCTCCCCAGACCAAACAGCCCTTGCTGCACTGAGGGGCTGCCCTGTTCACAAGGCATCACACCCACTGAGGAAGCGTGTGCAGGTGAGGAACAGTCACCAGCAACGCTGCCCCATCACACACCTTTTCCAGGTGGTAGGATGCTGCTTCCCATGACAGCCGGTAGGAAAAGGAAAGAGTCAACCCCCAGCACGGCTGCCCAGGGCAGTGGTGGATCATTCTGGCATTTGTGATTCAGTGATTTTACTGCCATGCCAAATCCTGGCACCCTGCATCAGCCTGGCAAGCACAGGCAGGTTACATAACTTCTCACTCACAGTGACCACTGTCCACTTCCTTCCTCGTTGCCATCACTCAAAGAAGATCTATTAGTCATACCCTTAGTGCTAATGTACAGTTGCTAATGACAACTGCACTGAGAACAATAAACCTTCTGCAAGCAATCCAGAAGCTTGGTTCAGATTAATTCAGTTTTCCAATTACAAAAACCAAGTGGTGACATCGAGCCTGAGATTCTGTCGGGCCAGAATGAGGAGCTGCCAGTTACAGCTGATGTGGGATCTGCACCTGCTCTTGTCCCCTTCTTGAGTTTCTGCTCAGTTCAGGACACCCCTGAGCACGTGGCCTCCCCACGTGAGCTGTGGCTCAGCCCCAGTGCTGTGGTCCCCGGCACCTGCAGCCCCACTGACACCAGGAGAGGGGCCCCAGGGCTGCCAGGGCTGCCCCAGCCCATCACCCTTCTGTGCCCACACCGGCAACTCCAGACACCGGTGCAGGCTGGGGAACAGGGAGTCAGGAGCAGGGTCCCCCATCCCTTCAGCCACATCATAGCCCCCAGACACCTGCCTCCCACCTCAGCCCTGCTCCCCATCCCCCTCACAAACCCAGTGTGATTGTGAAAGGCAGAAAAAGGAAGAGAAACCCAGCTAACCCCAGCTGCACCCACTGCGGGAGCACACACCCTCACCACCTCCCTTGGGCTCCCGTCCCGCTGCCCCCACGTCTTCACATCCTTTTAGAACCTTCCTGCCGTGCAGAGCTACATTTCAGCTGCTCGTTTCCCTCCATCAGAGCTGAGCCCTTGCTCATTCCAGCCAGGCCACATCACGCTTAGCAATGCTTAAGCAATAAGCAGCAATAAAGACAGTCTGGGTGTCAGTCACATTTCTCTGAAAACTCCCCCAGCTCCAGCACCTCAGGAAGTGCAGTACTTGTGACAACAGCTACAATCTTTCACTTCTACTCTGGAAATTCTCTGCAGAGGACAAATAAACCTTGCAAACCTCCACACATCCCACAGATTCTCAGGGGTGCTGTCATGCCCTGAAACACCTGGGAGGATCAGAGGAATGCAAGCAACAAATCCAGACACACACAAATGAAACTTATGCTGTGTTTTGGCACTTTGAATGAGTTAATCTCATGGAGGAAACAAGCACCAGAGCCCCTGGCAATAAGGCCCCTCTCCTGCAGATCTGCTCACAGGTAATACCACTTTGGTTAGAAATGCTCTGTGTGGGTATCTCAGAACAAAGTGTTGCTTGTTGATGGACAAAAACCCTCAGAACCAAATTGCAGGAAGAACTCTGGAGAAAATAATATTGAAACTGTTCAAGGCCAGGTTGGACAGGGCTTGGAGCAATGTGGTCTAGTGGAAGGAGTCTTCCTTCTAGACCCAGGGTAGAACTGGATGGGCTTTAAGGTCCCTCCCAACCCAAATCATTTTGTGACTCTCTGATTCCTGGAGGGATTTAACAGACATGTAGATGTGGTGCCAAGGGACACCAGTTAGTGGTGGCCTTGGCAGTGATAAGTTAATGGTTTGACTCAATGATCTTAAAGGTTTTTCCAACCTAAGCAATTCTGTGTTTCCATTTTTCTGTGATTCACTTCTCTGATGTTACTGAAAGAGATGTTGTTTAAACTGCCGGGTTTTTCCCCAAAAATGTTTTTTCTTTTTTGTCTGGGGAATGAAACCAGCCCAACTTCTTCCCTTGTCTGGTCCCCGCATGTAAAACCAGAGCTAAGAAAACACTTCATTCTGCAGAACATTTTAAATCAGCCCAAAAACATCTTTTATCATTATTTTGACAGCCCCAGTGAGGGGGCATGGCCCCAGTGAGCACACACGGAGCACACATGGAGCACACAAGGAGCACACAGGGAGCACACAGGGAGCACACAGGGAGC